TAGAATCATCCCCTTCCAGGTTGTACTACCATTGCTGGGACACCCTGTATATAGTTTGTATTTATTTTCACTTTATACAAAGCAAAAAGAATATATCATAATTGGAGGATATTTTTAGGCATTATTAGGATACGATGGTCGAAGTGTTCCTGCAGGGAACACTTCGCCAAGTTTAGCGGACCCCTTAGGGTCTGGCTGCCAGATGGGTCATAGGAGGTCGGGGCCGGGCCACGTGAGGTGGCCCCGCGCAATGACGCATGCGCGGTCACCTCACTGGAAGGGTCCCCGCGGGGGTGAACCATCAGAGAGCCTAACTCGGAAGGAGGAGTATCCTCCTGAGCTTTGCGTGGAGGGAGATTTCTCCTCCTTCGGGGAAGGCCCTTGCCTTCCAGACGGGCTTAAAAGGGCCCGTTCTGAAAGATAGACTTTAGCTGTTTCTAGTTCGTGAAGAGTTGCGTAGTTCGTTAGGAGTAGTTGTTGTTTAAGTTATTGGCAGTTCTTTAACAGTTCGTTAAGAGTTTTGTAAGAGTCTTTTAAGAGCGAGTCAACTAAGAGTTGTTCGTTATTAGTAGCAGCTAATAAGAGTTAGTTAGAGTTGAGATTAAGTCAAATCCAGTCTCTAGACTGCGGAAATTTAGGGCCATAGTATTCTCCAGCGTAGTAGAGACTGTGTGACTCCACATAATTGACAATACTTGTCAGGTATAAAAAAATCCAAGTTACAAACGCTGTTTTCGACGCGACGCAAACGAAGTTGTTTCCTCCGGTTGGTTTCGCGTGGAGTGCTTCAGACTGTTTTAAGGTCTAGAGCTGTAAGGGTTGTTTTATCGCGATGACTGTTCGGTGGTCTGATTGTAACTGACTTCGGTTTTTTGAGAGTTTTGGTTCCTCGCCTTGGCGTGTTTAGAATGCACGCTGATTGGCTATTTTAAGAAGTCCCAATTTTCCAATCAGCGGCATCCTCAGTGTCGTGACCCCCCTTCCATGCGCCCTTGACGCGCCTTCTCCTGCAAGGGTGGGACGACACTTGAGCTGGCGTGAGGTCGTGGGTTTTCCCAAGGCCCCGGCGTTCCTCTGGGCCCGAAGCTCAGGCTTGTAAGACCGTTAGATACGCTTCGGTGTGACCCTTCGGAATTACCGTGTTTTATAACACGTCTTTGGCTATTGAGTATGGATTAGACTAGGATTCTAAAAACCTCGTGTTTAAGCCCCCCAATATTCTAAGATTCCAACTCAAAAACAGCCGGTCTTTACGATCGCGTTATAAACCTTGGAAATACTGACCCCACGACTCGTGATGGGTAAGCCAAGGCGGGATGGGTCGAATGCATTGCGTAACAAATGCTATAATGATGTTGCACTAATGTCAAATGAATATCGTATAAAGTGGAACAACCGGTAATAGTTCCGTGACTTGATGCATCCACTTAAAGATTTAGTTAGGGAAGGAATATGTATTTTACGATCAACTCTCTGGAGTTTCTGTGGAACATGCAAGTTCTATAAATACGTTAGATGCTAAAAATGGCGTGCAATATTTACGATTACACGAAAGGGCGATAAAGAACAGATTATTTGATGCACAGGGTGTACATTATTTCGTGGGAAGATCAAATTGCCTTTGTCCTTTAATTAAAACTTTTCTCCAATTGTAGGTCGCAAAACAAATTATAGTGCACCGAAGTAATTTATTAATCAATATTGAGTTACCATGGATAATTAAACGTTGACAAATTGACGATGGTTATATCTGCTCGATTATTATGAATAATTATAATTATGCTCATAATTATAATGCATTCACAAATCAATTTTTAATTAAAATATTTCATATTGCATTCTGCAATCTGTTTCTGATAATATGGAACTCTTGTTTTTCACATTTTCGTAACAATTCTGTGTGATAAAATATAGAGTAAGAGTAAAAGAATAAAAATATAAGAATAAAATATTCTTCTCAATTTTTTGGTTTTTCCACGATCTTGTTTGTGAATGTTCGTTAGTGTTTTTGTTAATATTTCTATATTTGTCGTCATATTAATTTTGTATTAATGTTAATGTATTAAAAGAGAAATGAGAGCTGTTGGAAAGAAAAATATTTCGAAACGTAAATAAATAATATAATAAGGTTTTACATATAAAAACATTCAGAATAATATCTTTATCTTTGTTGCTTATCACGTGACGTAATTACGTGGAGTAATACGAAAGCGTACAGATTAATGAGACGTCATATTCGTACAATTTTGAGAAATTTAATGATTATTCGATGTAATCGATAATTTCATACGACTTACCAAATGTATAAAGAATTATTGTTGTTATGTTCTTATCGTTTGTATTGAAAAGATAATTTGAAACAAGTATAATTTATAACAAGTTATCATAAAATATATTAATATTATATAGTATATAAAATTTATCATATATCTTTCCTTTTACGTACAAATGAGATACGTTTAGGTTGACATGCAAAAGATTTGTGTACAGAACTGATTTAAAGAATGCAAATGAGGGAGAATGCAAGCGATACTATTAGCTTCCCAATGTGTAAGCATTTTCAAAGTCATTCAATGTTATTTTCTTTTTTAACGTGAATCTTAATTCCTTATATTCTATGTAAAATACTTTTATTCTACATAAAATAAAATAACACAATTTTTCTATGAAAAATATTTTTTTGGGATCCCTGTTTCTTAAGACCCTCGAGGAATTATCTTTACAAATTCATGCTCAAGTCATATGTTTCGTCTATCTAGTAGATTTAAATTTTCAAGTAATGTTGACAATACGACTAACAATGTATTGTATAGTAGTAGTTGTATATTATAGTATACTATGGTATAGTTTTATAGTATATTATAGTATAGTTGTATAGTATATTATAGTATAGTTGTATAGTATATTATAGTATAGTTGTATAGTATATTATAGTATAGTTGTATAGTATATTATAGTATAGTTGTATAGTATATTATAGTATAGTTGTATAGTATATTATAGTATATTATAGCATAGTTGTATAGTATATTATAGTATATTATAGCATAGTTGTATAGTATATTATAGTACAGTTGAATAGTATATTATAGTTCATAGTATTATATAAGTGTATATTCGCGATAGATCCATTATATAGTTAAAATGAATCTCTATGAGACCTAAATATGCTCAAATTAAAAAAGAAAAGGAAAAGAAGAACGTATCATATAGTACAAAAAGGATATACAATATAACAAAAAAATAATTTCAAAGGAAAGTAGTTAATAAAGCAACTCTGTTAGGAGTACTTAAAATGAATATTTAAACTTCTCTCTCGACTTCATTAGCAATAATTAACGAACATTCAGGTTTCAAAGACATTGCAAATTCCTGCCACGTTAAATGGAATACGTTCGGAGAAAAATGCGATTCAACAGCGAAAAAACCTTTCACTCGTGAATCCAGTTTCACGAAAATATTAACGTTCCGCGTGTGTAATAAAATTTTTTCGCCTTTTTCAATGATATCGTACAATGTTTCCTTTTCATTGAAACGCTTCAACATTCGTGTTTCGTCTGTTTTTCCTCTCATTTAAGAACGCTCAATTTTCCTCTATGGTAGTTCGATATCTATACGTCATAATAAAAATACGTATATTATAAGAGCATCGATAATAACAGGAATATTTTATTATATAATTATGTATATTATACAGGGTGACCGGGTTTTAATCACCAAACTTTATCAATATATTCTATGACTCAAAAAAAAAAAATTTTATGCAAACGATGGTCGTTTATAGCTTTATTGAAAAATTACAATATTTAGATTCGTGAAGAATTGAAATATTTCAAAGTGAATGAAGTAATTACTATATTTCTGCATTATACATAGCAATCGAAAGTTACCATTATTCAACCAATATTTATTTAAAATTCTTTTTTACTTAGTATTAGGTCTACAGAATATATATATCAAGTTTGTAGAATGAAATCTGAGACAGCCTATATGTTATATACGTATAATTACATTTTATATAATATATACATATATCATAATAAATATGACACCACATATATATATTAAATGTATATATATGTATTATGTATATTATATGTAACATTGATATTATAAATTAATATAATACATCTTATAATTAATTCATAATAATTTATATTTATATAATTAAT